TGATAGAGTTATAACTTTCTGTTTTTAAATTAAATCATACTCAACTTTATAATAAAAATGTTTGCTGAAGAAAAAAAAAGATTAAATAGTCTGATTAAAACCCAACTTATATGATCTGATGCTTAAAAAGTTATTGTATTCCAATTTTTTAGGCTGACGTGGCATTAGTGTAGAGCGGATTGCACGGTCTCGCACTTGATCTCACCGGACTGAATCGCTCAGTCTTTCTCCGGAAGCTAAACAAAGCCGGGAACGCAACAGCTAACCAGCTTCCTCTCTCTATCCCGGCGGTTAGGGTATTCGCCTTTTTCTTCTTCTGTTCGCTGCATTTACTCTATGGTCAATGGAGTCAATGGCAATTAAAGACGAAAAGGAGCTAGCATTAAAACCCGGTCCAAGCCCTACAGCGGAGCCGTCGCATGCTGGGAATTCTCAGACTTCAAATAAGAACCAAAACGAAGCATGTAGGCTGTCAAAGATGCCTATGAGCCCCAAGGATTTCATGATCCAAGCGGCGGCCAACATTGCTTCTCAGCCTCTCCAGAACTACGATACTAATGTATGGGGCGTCCTCACTGCTATCTCCAACAATGCCCGCAAGCGCCCCCAGGTACGTTTTGTTTATTAAATCGTAGTTTCTGAAGTTAGTTTATGTTTGAATTGAATTATTATTGGCTTCTTGTCGTTTTATTGGTTTTCATTTTGTTTCTGGTCATAAATACAGCGGCCTACAACCGTACCTTGGAGTGTGATTTTTTTTTTTTCTTGTGAATATTCACTTGGCTAAGTTTGTTTTACCAGTGTTTCTAGCAAGGTGCATTTACTGAGAACCATCTGTTAGGGGCAAAATGATTCCTTACCCTAAGGTTTATCAGAGAAGGGATAAAGAGGAATAATCTCGTGTAATTGCTTATCTATATGTATTAGTTTGAATGTTATTATGTAAGTTTATGTGTGTGTTTAATTAAATGTTAAATATGTATTAGGGTGGGAAATAAGTCTATCATAAGACAAGGGTAGTTTAGATAATTCTGGAAATTAAAAAATTATAGAATTAACTACCCTCTTTGTATATTATATCCTCTGCTCTGGGAGAAAAACATCATTATCTCTGAAATTATTCTTGAATGAATAGTACCCTTCTACTCTAGATATCGTGTGGTTCTCTCTATTGAGAGACCCCTAATTCTTTCTTAATTTCAAAAGATAGATAAAGGTAGATAATCAAAGAAAAATATCCTTCTATCTACTGATTTCGTTGTGAACTATAAGTAGGGACTGTAACAAATTAGTATCAGGGCCAATTGTTATGGTGATCTATAATTTTATGTTTGAAAAATTTCCTGCAATTTATCAAGAGGATAGGGGGGAAGGAAAAATTAAAGTGAATTTTTGGTTGGATGGTTGGAAAGTTGTCAGCCAGAACAGTCAAAAAAGATGTGGGAGAAGGCTGTAGTCGGACAGAACCCTTCCGCATTCTGGAGATGGAAATGCACCAGAGAAACTGGCCAGAGAAGGGGAAGAAAAACTGAGTGTGGCTTCACCCCTGCATGCGGCCAGGACCGACGTGTCTGGAAAGCCAGACACGCATGCTTCCCTGGACGCCAGACGTGTGAACTCCCCTGGGCCTTTCTCAGGTGTGCAACATTCCCTGGGCCCATACCATGGGTCAGGCCAGACTCCCCTGCATATGGGGCCTCAGTTGCTGGTTTCCCTCCTGTTGCAGATTGCTCTTTTGTGCGAAGGTAAATTAAATTGGATTTTCCACGATTCAATGGGTCTAGTGATCCTTGTCTGTCGGTTGGACAGTGTGAACACTTCTTCTGGCACCAGCACATGGTCGGGGAAGAAAAAGTGTCATTGGCCTCTTTTCACTTGGAAGGAGAAACACCATTGTGGTTCTTAAAATTGGAGGGAGACCGATCATATTTGATTTGGACTAAGTTTAAACATTTTTGTCATCTTCGGTTTGAACAGCCCATTAGAAGCAACAAATTTGGGGAGAATGGCTGATTGCCAACAGCAATTCAAGTTGCTTTCTGCGCAAGCAAGTGCACTTTTCCTGGAATAAGAAGTTGAAATTTTTATT